GGACCCTTGACTGGAATCGAACCTGGGACCTTTCAGTCTGCAGGCCGACGCTCTATCCACTGAGCCAAACCGGTTTCGGCCACAAACCATTTTTAAAAAATAGGTGAACATCCACTTTATGCTCTGCTCTAATAAAAAATAAAACGGTGGGATCAGATTCTCAGTCTAAGAACTTATGCGTATGACTTGAAACTTACAAGCTATGTGTACTTAATCAGTAAATAGGCACTTATTTTTTTTTTTATCCTCCCCTGGGGATATATTTATAGATTTTAGAGAAGGGAAGGAGAGAGAGAAACATCACTATGAGAAACATCAATTGGTTGCCTCCCATACGTGCCCCAACCGGGAATCGAACCTGAAGCCTTTCTGGTGTGCCGGTAACGCTCCAGCCGACTGAGCTGCCCGGCCAGGGCACAGGCACCTCTTAGTGCTTCCACAGGACACAGCACAGTAGCTATGCCCAATATACTTCTCACCAGTAAGAACTAGAACGTACTTGCAAAGCCTCTCTAGCAGTCTCCCTTTTTTAAACACTGAGGAATGCAGCTACGCTAGCAGCCAAACCTGGCAGGCATCCCTCCATTGCGTCCATCCTTCTTTGATTACTCTGATCATTATGCTCTTTAGACAGATGTTACTGCTGACAGCCACAGCTGGGAGGGAGCAAGATATTGAGAGGGGTGGTGGTAGGTGGTCGTGATGGTAAGAAAAAGGAGGAGAGAGCCAAATAAAGATAGTAGAAATCATCCCTGGTATCCAAGTCAATAAAACGCCTGTTCATTAGCTGTCTGTTATCTCCCGTAGCCGCCGCTAAAGAGGGGTTTCTGGACCCGCTTCTCACCGTCTTGGCCAGCGTGCAGGCGAGCTCGGGGTTATTGAGGATCTCATAGTAGAACACGGAGAAGTTGAGAGCCAGCCCCAGGCGGATCGGGTGTGTGGGCTGCATCTCCTTCTTGCTGATGTCGAAAGCCTCTTGGTAAGCCCCTTGGGAATTGTCTATCGTTTCTGTGGAGGCAGAAGAAGGAAATAAAAAAGCGGACACCGAAAACACCACCCAGCCCGCAGCACATTAACACAGCGAGCGGACGCCACCAGCTCAGTAGAGCCAGGCACTCTCTGTAGCCCTCTTTAAAACCACAGCAAATCAAAACATTCCCTTGTGCTAAGCATCCAGAACCAGTTTATAATGTGAAAAGCAATATAAAAGTGCCAACATATAACAACAAAGTCTGCTCTGACCGGAGTTTGATTACTGGCCTAATAAAAATGTCACCTTCCTGAAAAAAATAAAAAAATGTTGCCTTGGAAATACTGACCTAACAGAAACTCAACGATCCCCTTGTGGGCTGAGTGTGTACCCTCCTTCCTCTGAAACGGCGCGTTTACTGATGGAAACATGGCTGGTATAGCACAACACGCTAAGGGGCTCCGGCTGCCTGGCCCTCAAGGAAGCACTGTAATGAGCAAAGCGTCTCAGCTCCTAGGCCAGCGGTTCCCAACCTTCTGGCCCTTTAAATACAGTTCCTCATGTGGTGACCCAACCATAACATTATTTTTGTTGCTACTTCATAACTGTCATGTTGCTACTGTTACGAATCGTCATGTAAATATCTGATATGCAGGATGGTCTTAGGCGACCCCTGTGAAAGGGCCGTTCGACCGCCAACGGGGTCGCGACCCACAGGTTGAGAACCCCTGTCCTAGGCTGTAATACAGACCGTCTATAAGTTCTAGAAGGTGGAGTACTATGCATGGGACTAGGAAATGCCAGGAAGCCAGAAAGAGTGAGTCAGACTCATGCTGGGGCCAACATGCTGATGTGTGAATGTTCAGCTCTGCCATGTTCAATTTTGCTTATTTTTACAGCAACAGAAATTATACATCAATAACACAATAAATTTGGTACACAAACTTTGTTACAACAGGGTAACTAATTTTCTCTGTATATCTTGTGTGATAAAATTTGTAGCAGAAACATTACACAACATTTAATAGGCTCTATATTATACTCAGCTACCAATACTCCAGGGGACAGAGTTCACTGCTAATAAATTTACTTTCATTTTTTAAACAATCAAGCTAGGCAATTCGGTTATTCTTCTCCCCATGTCTGTTTTTTTGAAAAATATGTACCGGCACTAATACTCTCACGTTACCTCCCCTCAGAAACCTGGTTGTATGGAGTTAGGTAGTGGCCAACATGTCAAACAGAAAGGCACATCCTGTTTCTATACTGTGTCACCTCTCCCAGGAGAGTTTCACGGTGTAATGACACTGACGGTCCTAATGAGATCACCCTGAGCACACGCAGAGAACCCGGGGCTGAACACACGGTGCACCAAACCCGAACACATAAGCCATCACGCCTGTCTTCAATAACATCTTGTCAGATTAAAATCAGAACGTCTGCATTTCATTTTTTAAAGAGCACATAATGCAAACTCATGACTATCCATTTTTGAAAACATAAGGCAACGTTATTAATTTTCTTTTTACGTAGATTCCAAAACGTTTCTTAAAGTTACAAAAGGCCTGGAAACTACACAGAAGCTACTGTCGCCGTGTCCCATTTACCCTCCCTTCTATTTACATCTTAGCTTTACCCAGACACCAATGCACTTACGTTTTCGATCATCACCACATGCAACTTCAGCCAGGTACCGGAAGTAATCGCCCTTCATTTTCAGATAGAAGACCTTGCTCTCTGGATTAGTTGCGTTGGCTATTAAATACTTATCCAGCAATTCCTGAAATGAAACATGAGGCACCCGTGAGAGGCTATCATTACCGTCCAGAACTAACAATGATATGCAGTTATCGTCAGCGGTCACGGTGACCACAGCACACCACCCCGGACAGAGCAGGAGCTGGAGCCGGAGCAGGGCCCGTGCTGCCTGGTGAAGCCTCGGCTCACAGCCAGCCACTCCGTTCTCACGGCGAAGCGGGGTCACAGCAGACACAAGCAGCGGCACCTGCCTGCTCCCCCTCACTCAGCGCGTGAGATAGGCGAGACCCCGAGGGGCTCTGCACGGAGCCAGGTCTGCTGAAGGCGTCTTTTACAGCCACACAAAGAGCTATGTGGCACCTTTACTACCCGGTGCTTCGAGAGTCAACATGGCAGGAGAGAGAGTGACAGCAGAGAGGAGTCTGACTAGAATGAGGTCCTGAGGTGAGAAATGTGATTCTAGCACGAATCCCTCCTAAACCACTCAACCAGACATAGGCGTCCTCACAAAGATTGGCTTCCCTTAAAAAAATAAATAAATACATCAATTTTTTTCTTTATTGATTTCACAGAGGAGGGGAGAGGGTGAGAGAGAAACATCAATGATGAGAATCATTGATCGGCTGCCTCCTGCACACCCCCTCCTGGGGATCGAACTCGCAACCTGGCTGGGAATCAAACCCTTGACCCCTCCCTGCATAGGAGGGCACTCTAACCAACTGAGCCACACCAGCCAGGTGATGTACAACTTTCAACAACAACAACAAAATCTCAATACAGACCAGAGGAAAAAAACAAAACGACAAGTGGCTCACTGCATCAGAAAAATCTTTCCATATAAGGTAAAAAGTCAGGGTGGGAGAAAGGAATCAGTTTTAACATTTATAGAACTGAAAGTTCCCCCAAGAAATTCTACTGTCCATTATTCCTGTCAATTAAGCAGGCGTTCACCTTTGTAGCTTTTTAACCAGCAAAACTTATGATTCTGGGAGGTTCGAGAGCTACAATTGGGGCTCCCCCAGCGCTGAGTAGAACACAGGTAGTGCGTTCCTTTTTGAGAACCTGAAAGATCTGTGAAGTCAGTGTACTTCCTACCCAAGTTACAAGATGAACTAGTAGTAATCGAGAATACTCTATAGCAAGAAACCTCAAATATGAGCAAAGTTAGAGGAAAGAATAGGGAGAACTAGCGGTAATGCCACACTAAGAGCTTTGAACTTTTTTTTAAACAAAAAGTTACCTATAAAAAAAAAGTCAGCTATGTGTCAAACTGTGCAATTGTACATAATTCAGACAACCAATTGTACATAATAACCCCTTTCATAACTAACATTTTGTGACTCCTTAACTATCCTAAAATGAAATTAGTAGCTAATAATATATTTACATACAATTTAAAATATACACCAATGTCAAATGGGGGCACCAATAAATTTTTTAATAAAAAAAAATATTCCCCTAGCCCATTCGGCTCAGTGGCTAGAGCGTTGGCCTGTGGACTGAAGCACCCGAGATTCAATTCCAGTCAAGGGCACCCGCCCGGGTTATGGGCTCCATCCCCAGTAGGGGGCATGCAGGAGGCAGCTGATCCATGATTCTCTCTCATCAGTGATGTTTCTGTCTCCCTCTCTGAAAGCATAAAAATGTATTTAAATAAGATATAATGTACAAATGAAAGTAATTTGTAATAAAACAGTAAGCATTTCAATATGTAAATATCTATATGACTGGCCTTGGCTGATAGGGCAGTTAGAGGAGTGTCATTCCATGCACCCAGACTGGTTCAGTTCCCGTCAGGACACATGGTTTTGGTCTCAATCCCTAGTAGGGGACATGCAGGAGGCAGCCCATGGATGTTTCTCATTTATGTTTCTCTCTCCCTCTCCATTCCTCTCTAAAATTAAAAAACATAATCTAGTCAGATGTTCGCCTCTAAGGATCACCTTCAATGCCAAAAACCTTTGAATACAGACTTGCACAGTCTGTTCAACTACCATGAATAGCCTGACCAGGCAGGTTACAAACAAAGCAAAGTAAAATCTTTGATTTTTACATGGTAGTTGCATTCCTGGTTAATTTTGTATGCATTAAAACCATAAAAACAAACAAACAAGAAAAACTGTGTGTTTAAATGTAAAACAAAATTAGTTTTGGCCTCAGATGAATATGAGTAAGTTTCTACCTACATGAGTGAGCACTGGACGCTCCGTTACGCAGCACTTCCGGTGTCCAGTGTCATGCTCTCCACCCACTCCGTGTCAGCAGAGCCTCCCACCCTGGGGAGGGACACCGGGTGGGTCGAAGGCACACACACAAGTCCTTTGGGAGCACAGCCGAGGAAACAACGATTTTGTTAAGCAACTGGAAGGATTTTTCTTATGAAGGTATCAAGTGAGCTGCGTCTTAAGGGTAAAATCGGATTTTACCAATAGGCAGAAGCACCGGGGAGTATTCCAAGCCAGAGCCCTGTGGCCGGAAAGGCACAACTGCACAAGAAGGGAGAGTCATCGAAGATGGTCATCTTTTTAAAAGAGAACCTCCCCAAACACCAAGAGCACATCTTTAAAAGGCACCAATGTCCTACTGACCAGAGATTACATCTGAACACTTCAGAGCAATGAGCGCTGAAATGACAACCTAATCTAGAGTCTGTCCAGAGCAAGTTCCTTCATTTCCTCTTCTGTAAAAAGTCAGAATCCCTTCCAGTTTTAACCTGTGTAACTCTAAGGCACTAAATTCAAAGGGCAACCTGTTAAGCAGATCAACTTCTAGATAAAAACGTGTCCTTAGTGGTTTTCATTCATGAAATTCTGTTCAGCATCTGGCATGGGGCCCATCCCACGCCAGGCTCCTGTCAGATGGCATCAGCCGTGGAGGGCAGCCTGCTGGAATGCAGGCAACAGCAGCACACATGGTACGGCCTCAAAAACGATACAGCAATTTTCTTGAATTACTTTTTTGAAAAGTCTTTACTTTTTATCACAGCAATAACATGCAATAGTCAACTATCACACTAACAATTCTAATGAAAAGCCTCCCCATTCTGTTCGCTCGCTGTTTCGTTCCTTCAGCGAAGTTTTGGGTGTTTTTTAGAAAAATCATTACTTCATACTGGTATCTCCAGTTCAAATTCAACAGCACAGCATTATTCCTCCCTTATCTATAGCTTCTCTTCACACAGTAAGACGCTGGTTTCCATTTAAGTAACAGGTAACAAATGTACATCACACAAGTTCAAAAGCAAAACAACCAAGTTTCTCTCCCTTTTCTGGGTCCTCATCGACATGCAGTTCTTCCCTCCCTCAAGGCACCCGTCCCATCAGTTTCGTGTACATTCCTCCAGGTCTCTTATACATGTAAAGTCCACGTATGTCCCCCTCCCGCATGCTAGCATTCCATACACATTGCTCTTGCTTTCCCCATAGTAATCCCTCTAATAAGAATCACTCTATGCCCATGTATTATAACTGCTTCACTATGTGTAGCATTGCACAGTGTTCCACTGCACGGGCATAAGGTAATTATTTAAACAGTTTCCTGATGAACATTCAAGTTGCTTCAAATCTCTCAGTGGATAGAGCGTCGGCCTGCGGACTGAAAGGTCCCAGGTTCGATTCCGGTCAAGGGCTTGTACCTGGGTTGCGGGCACATCCCCAGTGGGGGATGTGCAGGAGGCGGCTGATCGATGTTTCTCTCTCATCGATGTTTCTGACTCTCTATCTCTCTCCCTTCCTCTCTGTAAAAAAATCAATAAAATATATTTTTTAAAAAAATCTTACTATAGCTTTATAAAACTGTAGTTTTCTAGTTTTATAAATTACGTTATAAATGAAATTGAACATCTGTATGTCCTTTTCTATTATTAACTGTTTTTATCCTTTGCCTTTCCTAATGAATTATGTCCTTACAGATTTGTAGGAAGTCTTCATATGTTAATATTAGTTCATTTTCCAGATGTATCTCATATGAACTTCATGTATTTAAAGATTTTATCTGGCAATAAAACTGCACTTACTGATATTTATTATATTAAATCAGAGAGTATTACCAAAATTTCTGATAAATATGAGAAGCAGACGTTAATGTGACTATTCAATTTTAGAACAAATAAAATATATGAGCAGAAGGCTTGTAACTGAAATATAAGTCTGTGTATTTAGTGGATTGTCTACCTGACCATATGAAATGGTTAACACGTTTTAAATGTTACCCGAAGAGCAGTGTATCATTCACACACACACACGCGCACACACATACGCGCGCGCGCGCGCACACACACACTTTCTCACACAAACACACACACACACACACACACACACACACACACGCTCACTCACTCACAGTATGGAGCACTTGTCACCACCTTAAGGTAGACGCTCAGGTTCTGGCAACACAGTGAGAGGGAGCAGACGTTCCCTTCTTCTAAAAACAATCAGAATGTTCAGCAGAAATAGATAAAATGGAAGAAAGACACACAGCGGAGCACCAAAGGGCAAAGACAGATATCAGCACTAGAAAAACGAAACGAAGGACTAACAGTGAACATTCACAACACAGTGGAGGGTGTGAGGGAGCTGGGCCCAGAGAAACTGCATCGGCCTGTGAAGTGGCAACAAAGCTACTTCCTGGGCTTCTTGGGGGCAGGAGGGAGGCCACAGAGGGTGCAGTCCCAGGAGGAACTGTGCAGGTGCTATTCAGTGTTTGTTTAAGCCCGACATGTAAGCCACAGGCGGAAAATGGGTGTAAAAGCGGGTGGAGCTTAGTGTGTCCAGCAGCAAACCATCAGAACCCGATACAAAGACACTTCCCCAGTCCGAGGCACACACAAGTCCCACAGAAAAAAGCTCCATTATTATCATTAAAATAACAGAACTCTCCAGGGGCAGATCTACCAAAATGAGGGATCAGCAAATCAACAGGTGTTGGTCCCCAAGAACTTAAGAAATGAGAAGAGTGTGTAACAAAACATAAAGTATGCTGAAAATGACTAAAGCATCTTTTAAAGATATATATGTATTTTAA